TTTCAGATGTAACTGTGTGACTGCGCTTTTATATATATATATATGTATGACTACACACTCACAACCATTACAGCACTACTGATCAACCATTACTTTGCTGGAATCAGTTTTATTTTCAGCAATAGGCTTTCTTCCAAAACCTGTCTTTTTTAATTGAAACATTTTGGGAGCTACAGGTACAGGCATAATGGAAGCCTACTGCATTTATGCTAGTATTTTAAACTTCTCAGTGAACCACCTAGATTTTGGGAGCAAATATGCAATAATCTCCATCTCTTTTCATGCCAGCCTAATAGCAGAGAAGCAGTTTTGTGGCTGTGATGCTCCTTTCACCTTCTGGTCACAGCAGCTTCACCTAACCTTCCCTGCTTTATATGCATTTGAGCCATTACTTGGCAGACTTGAAGTGTGGTTTGTGTTTTTTTCAAGTGGCATGAACCAGAAGAGAATTCACCTAATAGTGCCTAATACGGTCCTTTCAAGGACAACACTGCATGTGCATCTGATACACCACCCCTTCCTCAAGATCATTATGAAGCTATGTCCTGAAATTATCTTTCTTACCCTGCTGGCTAAGGACTGCCTGTAAAGCATCATTATGTGTATATATATATATATATATATGTATATGCATATATAAATATAGGGGCTACAGGCCTGCAAAACTGTGTTATACTTCCATTATTCAGACATATTTTGTCAGCATGTTGAACTGTTTAATACCAAAGAAAAACACTAGATTTATATTCTGAACACTGTAGCTCACGCACAATGTCAGGAAAAGTGCATTTGCTTGGTTTACTTCCAAAAACTATTCCAATTAAGTATGAGTAAACTTCCCATCTGATTAGTCCAGAAGTTGTGACAAAAGACAATGTCCTGTGTCAGAAACAGGAGCTGTCTTTCTCCTATGCCAGGTGTCTGTGTGTATATATAAGTAGCGTGTTTGGTTGAGCAATTCCTAGCACAACAGAAATCAGAAACCGGTAAATTCTACGTGGACCCCTTCTCTACCAGCAGTTCAAGCAAAACAGTGAAAAACAAAACCAGCACCTGCAGTCCAAGTCCATTGATATTCTCAAGCTTGCACCAAGCCTTCCGTGGTCAAAGGCCTGTGTATAAAAACTGGCACAACCAAGTTCTTTTTAATTTCCTGTTTCTTTAAAGTTAAGGAGTTTCTTCCTGATTGACTAAACAAAAGAACAAGCTCCAGCCATCTTCTCTGTCTTTGAAGCCTTCTATTCCCACTGCAACCTGGGTGACAGCAGTGACCTCCCAGGGTTCAGCCTTAACCACTGCACCGAATTCCCTTGGAAGGAGGGAAAAGTGGAATCCGTACCACTATCCTGTAGCAGTAACCCCCACTGGATTTTAAGCCCCGTGTTACACAGCTTGTATGATTCACCTCATGAAAATAAAATAGACCAAGGAAATACATATAAATACCTGAAAGTTTTAACATGTGTATAAAGATACTCTCAGGATAAATGACACTGCATGTAACCATAGTCTCCTCAGAAGCCTGGCATACATATTTGTTAACATACAGCTGAAGAGGAATTTTTGCATAATCACTACAAACATAGGGACTGAAAGGTTTCTTGATCACCAAATACAGCGCTTCATTGCTGTGACTGTATCATATAAACTCTCTATAAATATGTTTCATGTTAAATGAATATGCTGATGGGCTCAGTTGTCCCTGGTGTGGGTAGCCCTACCCTCTTCCCACAAAGACCCCCTCCTGCAGCTCCCCCAGCTCCCAGCACCCTGCCACATTCACCCCTTACAGCAGCTAAGGCTTATGCTCCTGTATGCTGCTTATTTAGTATTGTTGTTTTAAATTGACAAACCTGGAGTTGCAGTTATATCAGTCTTTGTTATCAGCTTGTCAGTTACTTAATAAACACATTCCATCATCTCTGTGGGAGTTGTAGTCATTTAGATGGTAATTCCTGTTTCACAGGTATGTTCTGCAATAGGTGCCAAATATAATCATCCATACTGTTACCGCTGATAAATTTTAACAGTTTTCATGTTCCTAAATTTCTGTGTACTTTTATTACGTAGGAGTATCTGAATTTAAATTAACATCTCAGATCCATGTGGGCCATCTTTCTCTTGAAACTTCCTATCAGGGCTGCACTTCAGGTAGGTGACAGCATTTCAAAGCAAGAAATAACATACTGATGGAGCAGTCATGTCTGTTACCACCAGTAATTAGGGTTATCAAAATAGCAACCCAGTTTTCATCCCTGCCTGTCAACATAGTTCATTGTGATCCTCAGAGGAAATGTTAGAGACCTCTTTGTCTACTGAACAGTGCTTTAACTATTAAAGCTGCTCCTTCTCAACCATGCTTTGTGGGTGAGTAGGGACATCTCCAACCGCACTAGACTGAATACTCTCCATGTTCATTATCCCAGCGGTTTAATGTAGCTATCAAAATATCTGTCATAAGGATCTTCCAGATACACCAGTATTTGGGAGAGTTCTTCTTTATAAGGGCCATATGATACTAAATGACATGTCTCAATCCCAATTAAGAAAGTCATCATTTTTGAGCAGTGTGAGCTATGACTGAGTATTTTAATCCTGGTCTGTTTGTGAAGTGTCCCAAAATCTCAGGGGTGCAGTGAAAGTAATTTTACAGTTATTTTTTCCACAGAAGTTTTAGACATTCAGGATGTTTTTGTACAGACTGTCAGCCAGCTGCAAATTACTTTGCAGTTGTCCATTTCCACTTACAGATTGGCCTTCAGGGAGGGAAGAGAGACTAAGTGAGAAGATGGCATTAATGAAAGCTAGACAAGCTTTTCCACATTTTGTATTAGACTCTTAATCTACCCCATCTCTGCCAGATCTTTTCCCCAGGTAAGTGCTTGTGAGGAAAGCTTTTCTCTCTACTATGCTTTCAACTAGGTGTTGTAAGTCTGTAAAAAGGAACAATAATTTTAGCTGATTTTTTCAAGTTATTTTTGTAAGCACGTGTGTCATTTTTGCATCAATAAAGAGGGACACAGTCGCAACTTTTTCTGTAATTAAGTGTTCTTCACAGAATGGTGAGAGTAATATAACCACAAGTTATGTTTCTGGTTTCTGAGCACTGGTTAAAACAACCTAGGAAGCCTGAAAGAATCATGCAGAATCCTCCTGCCCAGCCCTCAGGGTTTTCAATACACTACTATTGCCAGCTCTGGCAGTGAGTGCTTACAACTCTCCCATAAGTTTAGATTCCAGATGTGTTTAGTTCAGAAGAGATCATAGCAAGCCAGTACTGATGAAATTCCATCTGTCATGGATTTTTTGATAATCAGACACAGGTGATGGTTAATCAGATTTAACACACTGGGGGTTTTAAACAGGGCACAGTGATTGCCAACTGCTACAATGTGTGTAACACAACTACATTCATATGGTCTGTTCAGTCGGTAATGAGTTTCTGGAACAGCAGAATTTGCTTCAAAGACGTTGGTCTGGGACTCACAGGACTTGAAATTTATTCCTTACTCTGCTGCTGACCTGCTGGGTGACTTCTATAAAAACCACTTTGACTCATTCCTTTTCATTGCCCTTTGCTGTAATGTCTTTATATAGGTAGCGACCTCCTAAGGCAGTAAAGCAACTTTATAATTGCAAGTTGGGCTTTTGAACCTCCTCAGTGTAAACACTGTCACTCTCCATCTATACCAATCTCTGCATCAATTCAGTCCTGTTACAAGTACGATCCATAAGTAGTACAAACAGTTAAAATACCTTCACCTTTTTATGCACTTTGCAACAAACTGCCACTTACTTTGAATGTATGGTTATGAAGGGGCTTATCATAAATGAAGCTTGCTGGAGGTGTTCCAGTTGTTCCGTCAATAGGTAAAGCCAAAACCTTACCACTTACGGGAATCTTTGTGGGAATTCTCAGCACAGGAAACAAGGAATTAACAAACCAGTCCCTCATTTTCCAATCCTGGACAAGACTGCAATCTCCTCTTATTAATGCATATGCCCCCCCCCCCCCCCCCCCTTTTTTCTTGGAGGGGAAGGAGGATAAGGGGAGAAAGACTCTCAGACCCAAGGCTTTCCTTAATAATGACCCCACAAAATAAATCATGGGTTTCTATTAAAGGTTTGTTAATACCTGATGTGAGAAAACAGCCCTGTATTAACAATAATGAAAGCTCTCAATTTGCCTTTCCTTTTCTTAATGATTGCTACAACTTTGTTGTCCTCTAAGCCAGAAAAAGTCGAAAACACAGAGAACAGCAGAAAGAAAAAAGATGTGCAATGATGAATTGCATTCAGCACCAAGGATACATACGGAGAAGAGTAAGAATGGCTGTTAAAGAAATCATATCATGAAAGATAAGAAATCTCACAGAACATCAGTCATTCTTATTCTGCATGTTTGCTGGCACAGTAAAGGCAATAAAACAAAACATACGCTTTCCTTCATGGAGCACACAAAAGCAGGATCTGAGGAAAAATAACAGTAGAGCACTAGATGGTAGTCAGCTAAAATAAAATAGATTCCAGTACTGCAATTTGCAGTCTCCTGCAGTGTTTGCAGAAGTTTTTTCCTCAAGCATTACTAATGTTAGAACTTCAGACAGCTTCCTTGAGTCTTTGTGGAACATGTTGTGTTAATTCCTACAGCGTTAAAATGATGTTTTGGCCTGATAACAGTATGCAAAACTCCCAGGAAGGCTGTGTTTAAAACTTAAAAAGCTACAAGCAATTCTTTCTAAATTGCTCCCTCCTGTTTTAAGATATACGGCACTTCCAGACATTGCCACATAACACTCAGTCTAGTATGCACATGAGAAATGCAAAATCTTAGTCTAGTCAGCAGTCTACTTCTATAGTAGACTACATGAGTACTGCAAAACTGACCTCTAACCTGTTAGATTGTTTCTCAGCTTCATCCTTTGCTTGCCCCTTTTGCTACACAGACTGTTTAAATAATAATAAAACTAATCATGATCTTGGCATATAGTAACACTTACATGGTGGAATGAAATCCCTTTAGCAGGACGGCTGGTCACTGAATGGGTGGCAATAGCAATGTGTCACAAGTATCCTTGGAGCAGCATTTTCAGATGTATCAGACAAGACTTCCCACAGCACTGTTCTGCAAAGCAGGGCTCTGTCACATTTAACAATTGGTAAGGGAAAGACCATAACCCTGGATGTCCCCCCGCCTCCTCCTTACCATGAGCTTTCACTGCCAATCACAATGTGATATGGTATGGGATAGCCCTGTCCCAGCTGTGTCGCCTCCCAGCTGCTTGATAGCCTTTACAAGTCCAGAGTTGAAAAAAAAGGCCTGGAAAACAATATCTATTTTAAAGTGTTTGATACAAGGTTGAGATTTAAAATTACCTCCTTTAAGCAGTCTTTTTCAGATTTTAAAGGGAAGCAGACTTCACTGTACAGCACTTGGTTCTGCAGCAGTGGGTGGGTTTGATCAGTATCTGCACCTATGACCAAAACCCAACAGTGCCTAACTGATGATATTTTGGATCTGAGGTATTCAGAAGGACAAAGCATAGACTCTGTTAATTTCCATTTTAAAAGTTCCATCTCTGTAACCTTATTCTTTGATGTGTAAAAACTGATGTGCATCCAGAATGAGCACTTACCTGTGAAAACATAGCAATTAGTCCTGCATGATGGCAATCGAGTAAAACTCAAGGTGAGGAACAAGCTCTTCTGTCTCCACGATACTGCCCTAGGACACCTTCCTTCCAGAAGGGTGTTCAAGGATACCGGGAAATAGAAGCAAAGGGATTATTCATTGGAAACGTGCAACAGTGCTCCTCAAAGCACTCCAGTTTTGGACTAGAAGGTTAAAAAAAAACCTCCAACAAACCAGCAAAAGGAAAACAAAACTTTTAAAGTGTTAGGTCTGGAAAAAATGGAAATGAGCTGAAATTTGTATTCTGAAGAAGAGCTGAAATAGAGCAAGAGAAGAAAACAGCTGCTTCAGGAATACAAATGTTAAATTTATTAATGCAAGAGAGGACAGTATGATTAAGTTGTTTAATGTACTGCATAAAACACAACAACAGTTGGCTTAATGTATTTAAACAGAAAAGCGAAAAACACCATGGGTCTAGGCTGGAGTAAGTTCAAAATGCGTTATCACCCCATTCTTTGATTGAGATGGTTTTTAAATCTTATTGTTTCTCCCTCCTCGTGCTCAATGCTGACAGAAGCGCATTGAAATATACAAGTACCTCAACAATAAAAGCACAAGTCCCAGTCCATGCTGAATTCCAGCCGACCGTATGTATTCCTGACACTCAGCCCACAGCCCAAGCCAAGTTAATGAGGCTTCCTCACCCCAACAGGTACCACAGCAGTGAATTATTGTACTATATTCTTACATAGTTAATCTCAACAAAGGCTCCTTCAAAAAAGCAAAATGGAGCAGAACTACTAAAACCTTACATAGGAGAGAAAACACATTTTATTCTAGAAGCAAAAAAAGATTAGTATCACAAGTGAACTCCAATAAGAGAGATCTAAGGGATGTGGGGAAACACCCATAAGCTTTCCAGTAAATATTACAGCACTTTCTCATTGTAACTTTTTCCCCTCAACATGCCTTGAATTTGTTTGCTTGAAGCATCCTCACACCAACAAAGAAGTTAGCAATACTGTCTGTTATTTATATATGTATTACCTGCTACTTACCCTTAAAGTAGCTGCAAAGGGTAAGGGAAGAAGGGGAGCCCTTGCTATTCCCATTGCCTAGACAGATTCTGCAAGCCTGTGGCAGTGGGCTGGCTAGAATTAGGGCCAGCTGATTAATAGTCAAAGACCACTGAAGCATTTTATTCTTGTAAGAATATATATATATATATATATATATATAATCAAAGCATCACAGAATAGCTAGGGTTGGAAAGGAACTTAATATCATCCAGTTCCAACACCCCTGCCATGGGCAGGGACACCTCACACTAAACCATATCACCCAAGGCTTTGTCCAACCTGGACTTGAACACTGCCAGGGATGGAGCATTCACACCTCCCTGGGCAACCCATTCCAGTGCCTCACCACCCTAACAGTAAAGAACTTCCTCCTTATATCCAATCTAAACTTCCCCTGTTTAAGTTGGAACCCATTACCCCTTGTCCTGTCACTACAGTCCCTAATGAAGAGTCCCTCTCCAGCATCCTTAGAGGCCCCCTTCAGATACTGGAAGGCTGCTCTGAGGTCTCCACGCAGCCTTCTCTTCTCCAGGCTGAACAGCCCCAACTTTCTCACCCTGACTTCACGCAGGAGGTGCTCCAGTCCCCTGATCATCCTTGTGGCCTCCTCTGGACTTGTTCCAACAGTTCCATGTCCTTTTTATGTTGAGGACACCAGAACTGCACACAATACTCCAGGTGAGGTCTTGCAAGAGCAGAGTAGAGGGGCAGGATCACCTCCTTCGACCTGCTGGTCACGCTCCTTTTGATGCAGCCCAGGATACAGTTGGCTTTCTGGGCTGCAAGCGCACACTGAAGCCGGCTCATGTTCATTTTCTCATCCACCAGCACCCCCAAGTCCTTCTCCACAGGGCTGCTCTGAATCTCTTCTCTGCCCAACCTGTAGCTGTGCCTGGGATTGCTCTGACCCAGGTGTAGGACCTTGCACTTGCCATGGTTAAACCTCATGAGGTTGGCATCAGCCCACCTCACAAGCGTGTCGAGGTCCCTCTGGATGGCATTCCTTCCCTCCAGGGTATCAACCGAACCACACAGCTTGGTGTCATCGGCAAACTTGCTGAGGGCGCACTCAATCCCACTGTCCATGTCAGCGACGAAGAGGTTGAACAAGACCGGTCCCAACACCGATCCCTGAGGGACACCACTCGTTACTGGTCTCCAGCCGGACATGGAGCCATTGACCACAACTCTTTGTGTGCGGCCATCCAGCCAGTTCTTTATCCACCGAGTGGTCCATCCATCAAATTGATGTCTCTCCAATTTAGAGACAAGGATGTCGTGTGGGACAGTGTCAAACACTTTACACAAGTCCAGGTAGATGACATCAACTGCTCTACCCCGTCCATCAGTTCCGTAGCCCCATCACAGAAGGCCGCCAAATTGGTCAGGCAGGATTTCCCCTTAGTGAAGCCATGCTGGCTGTCACCAAGCACCTTGCTGATTTTCATGTGCCTTCCAGGAGAATCTGTTCCAAGATTTTGCCAGGCACAGAGGTGAGACTGACTGCTCTGTAATTCCCCAGGTCATCCATTTTCCCCTTGAAAATGGGGGTTATATTTCCCTTTTTCCAGTCATCGGGAACTTCACCTGACTGCCATGATTTCTCAAATATGATGGCCAGCGGCTTTGCAACTTCATTCACCAGCTCCTTCAGGACCCGTGTCTGGATCTCATCAGGACCCATGGACTTGTGCACATTCAGATTTTTAAGATGGTCTCGAACCAGCTCCTCTCCTACAGTGGGCCCAAGGTCTTCATTCTCACAGTCCCTGCATCTGCCTTCCAAGACTTGGGTGGTTTGGTCAGAGCCTTTGCCAGTGAAGACTGAGGCAAAGAAGTCATTCAGAACCTCAGCCTTCTCCAAACCCAGGGTAGCCAGTTCTTCTGAGAGCTTCCTGAGGGGGCCTACATTCTCACTAGTCTGTTTTTTATTTGCTATGTACTTGTAGAATCCCTTCCCTAGCCAAGTTTAATTGTAACTGGGCCTTCGCTTTCCTGACCTGGTCCCCAACATCCCTGTATTCTCTGCAGGCTGCCTGTTCTTGCTTCCACCTTTTATAAGCCTCTTTTTTCCCCTCTGATTTTCCTCAGCAGCTCCTTATCCACACACACACACACACACACACACACGCCTACATCCACACATGCAATGTATACTGGGACAAACACCTAGCAGCGCTGCACTAGAAAGAAAATCAGATGAACTTTAACACATACTCAAGAACAATTTCTGTTCTCACACCACAGCACTTTCATACAATCAATAAGTGTTGAATTTGGATCACTGAGTATTGAAAGTGATCCATGTATGCCTTAAGGAATATATCACTGAGGAATGGTAGACTGCTTGTGACATAAGCCAATAACTGGTCCTCTCAAGAGAAAATGCTGTAGAGAACAAATGTCATTTCTCTGCAGGGAGTAAATGAGCAAAAGTCTGCTCACTGGGGCTCTCTTTTTCTTCCACACTGAAGAATTCAGTTCACTGGCAACCCTGTCTTCCGCTACATTACATACACTTCGCTGAAAGTAGAAGAGAGTTGTACTACTTCTGCCTTAAGGACAGAATAACCTTAAAGTTATTCCAAATGGAGTTGTACCTTAAAAGACCTTGTAAAAAGTCTTCACACTCAAATGCGACAACAAACTGCATCATTCACGGAGAATGGATAAAGTAATTGCTCAACAGGTAATACACAAATCCAACTTCTTTTCCACAGCCATACAGTGTGTTACAAAACCAAGAGATTCATGGCAATCTTCTGTAAGTATATTTATGGTGGTTCTTGGCTCCTTCCATCCTCAGTAGAGGTTAACCAATACAGAGCATCATCCTCTTCCTGTTGCCTATAGACAAACTCTAAACTAAAAAAAACGGTTTTGTGACTGTCACTCTGTATGCTAAAATAATCAGGTTTATTCTGTATTTACAGGTACCCCAAAGCACAAAAGCAATTGCTGGATGTGTTGTCAGTTACACACTGCTTGCAAGTCTTAGCTTTCTACTATGCTAAATTATACAAACCCAAAAGTTGCCAGAAATCAGGGTATTAATAAACTAGTAAAGCAGAAAGAGTGGGAGGTATAAGCTGACACCATTAGAACAGTGGGTACCCTTCTTCAGAAGGGTTATTCAGCGTGTTATTACACAGGTAAGCAATCTGACATTTCATTAATGTGGCTATAATTTACCAGACACTACCCTCCAGTAGCCACTGTTGAGCAAACAACTATTGTTTTGTTGACTCATTGTAGTGATTTGTGTTTGGAGGATGAGTCCTGGTTTCTGGAAGTATCACAAACTGCAAAAAAACCCATTTGATGTACTTTTGTTTGAACTGTAAACAGAGTGAGTTGCTTTTATACCATTTCCTACATTTTGTTAATGTGCAAACTTCCTCTGCAACTAATTATCTTAAGATTTTAATTTAAAAGTTAATCTTCTAAAAATAATATTAATTAATATGTTTTCCTTGTATTCCCCTATTACCTTCTGTCCTTTTAGTTTCAGGTTTTCAGTTGTAATGGCCTTCAGCTCCACTGCAGGCTTCCTAGTGGAGAAACAAATTTGT